GGCTCAGGCATGCAACTCATTAGTGGCATGACTAAGGTTCAAGAATAAGAAAGAAAATTTTTTATGGTGTTAGGGTTTGGGTTGGGTCGGATGCTAGGAAACCCTAGGATGGGGCCAGCTCTGATACCAAATGACATTAGAGGTAACCTAAACCACAACAAAAATAAAGATGTTATTATTGAAATTTAAAGGTTATAAGGATGACTGTCCAAAACTAGAAATAAATACAATAAACATAAAAGGGATACCTTTGGGTGACGACGAAGGGATGAACTCCAGTTGGATAGCCTGACATAATGGCTGCGATTGAGCATTGTAGCAGGGAGGGGACAAGGGCAGAGTGGTTTGTAACTTGGTAGTTTGCTGGGTGGGCTAGCTTTGATACTAAATGATATTAGAGGAAACCTAAACCATAACAAAAATACAGCGTTACTATTGAAATTTAAATGTTACAATGATGACTTTCCAAGACTAGAAATAAAATACAATAAACCTAAAAGGGATACCCTAGGGCGACGACGAAGGGATGACTCCGGTTGGATAGCCTGGCGGGATGGTTGTGATTGAGCACTGTAGCAGGGAGGGGACAAGGGTAGAGCATTTTGTAACTTGGTAGTGAGGGAGGGGGAGTAGGAGGAGCTTGAAGTCAGCAGATAGCATGGGGAGGGGGTTTGGCTAGACCGTGGAAATAGGAAGGTTTATAGGAACAGGATGAGCACTTGAGGTTGCTGGAAACTTTTGGGTAGAAGCAGGTGTTGAGGGACTTGCTACTAGGAAAGAGAGTTACGGGAGTGGGGAATAGGGGACGGAAAGGGAAAGGCCTGTTGGAGGGGATTGGGTTATCCAACATGTAGGAATAAGGGGCTGGCTTGGTAGGGAAGTGGGAATGGATCATGGGATGGAAGGAGGAGGTGGAAGTCAGAGAAGATATTCACCACCGGGGAGCGGGATACAACTAGAACACCACCCTAACCGTTGGATACAACCCTCAAGGGAAGAACAGAACACCATCGGCTGTCCTCATAAATCTGAAATTAGAAATAACATAAAACTGAAACCCCCCTAAGACCTAAAAGCACATATAAATAAACGTGGGATGGACGGGAAATGAAAATAGGAAGGCGGGAAAATTCGCACCTAAGGAAAAGAGGGAGGGAGGGAAAGGGCCAGCTTAGCCCTCTCTCTCAACTGAATCGGTTCTAGCCAAACCGGTTCAACTTTTGGATGAAAATCCTCATGTCAACATGTTTTTAATTTTCTACCAGCAAAGCATATTAGAAGACTTTTTCTAGAGATTTTGGATCAAATAACTTCATTCATTCCTAACTTTTTTTTTTAAATCTAATGATAAATTTGTTGAGAAATTGTCAATCATGGTCAGCACAATTTGACCTAGCACGTGTCTATTAAAGTATTCAAATGTTTAAATCCAAAGAGCTTATATAGCTTTAAATTCAAAAACTACGTATGTTACTTCTTCTCATGATGCTCTGGACAATATTTGATTTTTAACATCTCGTTCATCTTAATTCCGGTGAGATTGATTCCTTAAATCTCTTTTCTTTGGCTAAGGTATTGGTCCAGTGAACATTGGCATGCCTTATTAATTTTATTCTGGAAATATTAATTATTTGTAGCCATCATGGATGAGAGCTTCAATTTAACTTTGATACAGGGTTCATTAAAGTTATCAACATTCTTTTGAGGATAATTTCTTCAAGTCCATTCTTTAGCCATTCATTAAAGTTTTCAACATTCTAAGTCCATTTTTTAACCTTGGCACTAAAGTTCATTCCTGACTTTGATATCGGTTCTAGAAATAGTTCTTTTGTCATAGTGGCATTTTCATGCATCCTTTAGTCTAATGAATTAATTATTTTGGTCAAGTTTTCAATTTAGTCTTAGGAAATTGATTCATTCTTTATAATATGATTTGAAAAAAATGAAGAGAGAGATCAGAAAACAAGTGACTTTGGGCAGGAGGTGGGGCACTATTTTTATTATTTTTAAGATGGCTTAGGTTAGCTTGTACGTAATATTTCAAGTACTGTATTTGGATTCTAATTTCCTCAATTGGTTTTTGGGTTTGTGTCATTTTCATGTGTCCTTAGTCTAAAGAATTTATTATTACAAATATCTCTTAAATTAAAGTTTTCATTTGGTCCATCTTAATTTGTGTGCCATGATATGATTTAAAAAAATCATGAAAAGAAAGAAGTGAGAAAATGTTTTATAGATGAGAGAGTGAAAGCTAAATTATAGAAGCAAAAATAGGATGAATTCCAAGCTAAAAGAGCTTTTAGGTGATGTGAAAGGGGGAGGGGATTACGAAGAATTTTTGCCTGTCAATCTTTTTTTATATAGTTTAGACGTTTTTGACAAATTGCCTTTTAGCTTTAACTATACCCATTTCTTTACGCATGTCCTTAAGTATTGTTCATCATGTTCCAAAAAAAAAAAAAACATAAATAAAAATTGCTATATGTTTAAGCCTTAAGTTCTTAAGATTCCAATTTTTTTCTAATTAATTAATTTCTCATAAACAGTAACATGAAAAATAAAGCAGGTTATATAAAATTTTTTTGCATCATGATAATGTTCTGCTTTCTTAAAGTGACCAAGTTTTCACTTACGATTTTAAGATCGGTTCACATGAGTTTTTTGCCAGGAAATTTGGTGTGACTCACTTATTGGATTTTATTATAGCACCACAAATTTTCAAGAAATATACTTATTAGATGTCTGAGCTATTAATATGAATTAGGTACATCTTAAGAATAATTCACTAACTTTGAACTCTTTTGCTGGATTTATAAGCTTTTGGAGGCAAGTTCATCACAAGACAATTTCTCTTGATGAATTAAATTTTGATCAAAATTATTTTTTAAAATTGCCCTGTTGTCAAATATGATGGTAGATGGCAGCCTTTTTGTAAAATTAAGGGCTAAAATGGCTTTAGATCTTTAGTTTAATATTTTAAGAAGTGTTGCAGTGTCTATGATGGAATGATTAGTGGTTTGGAGGGTTGATAGAAATGCTAAAACTAGTCTAAATTGAGCTGATTTGAATGATCTCTTTGGGAAACGAGTTTTAGCAGTACAAATGGCTTGAAATTTTTTTGTAGGGTTAGCTTAAAATGTGTAATTTTGTTATGTTGTACATGATTATGCTTGGTGGAGCTTAAGTGGATGCTGAGAGTACAAAACAAAACTAGATCCTAATTTTACCTAGCTTGGCTGAGAGCTACAAACTGGGTTTTGGGTTCTTTCTGAGGCTTGGGTTTGGTGGTGGCTGATGTTGTAGTAGGCTTAGGGTATATAGAGGAAGACGGTAAGATGATTTGGGGAAGGTGTTTAAGAGATGATAATATTTAAACTTACAATAAAATGATGATTTTATAATTAAAAAAAAATACACTTGAGGCCATCAAGGCACAAGAAAAAGAGGAACAATTCTTCATTTAGAAGATTCCATTGGACACTAAAAGTTCTACTACACATCGACTCTTATACATAGGCAAAAAATGACCCTTGAGTTTCTTTATTTTGGAGGAAAAAAATTAGAGGAAAAAAGGGAGAGGTTTCACGCTCCTTCATGAAGGTGGCTAACCATACATGTTTTTAAGGGCTTAAAAAAATTCAAAATAAAAAAATAAAATTATATTTAAATAATTTAAACTATAGGCCTTGCTACGGGCTCTAAAAAAACCTATTGTTCATGGAATTATTCTTAGTTTGGACTTTGCTCTTGCTTTTGTAATGGATTTAGTTGGTTGATTTGAATTATAAATTTGATGTGCTACATCACTTGTTATAGATCAATATAATAGACAGAGTAGTAGTATCAACAAATCTGAGCCGATTAGGCTAAAGCCTAGGAATTTAGGTAATTTAGACACTTTAGGCTTAGGATCAAGTTCAAGTTCTCGTTCTAGCATGAAGTACTTATCTAAAAAAAATTCTTCCTCTTAAGATAGAGGGTCATAATCATTGACAACTCAAGTGGATCAGGAATCAACTTAGGTTGTGTTAGTTGAGCTCCGGGCGGTTCAGGACTAAAGACTGAGGGACTAATGCATTAGCCTTTGGCGTAAAGAAATTAGGCAATTGTCTAATGAACCTAGAAAAACATTCTCTAGGAACTTCCGTGCTAGCTTGCCCATTGGTAAGCTTCATCTGGAGTTTGAGGGTCATCAATGAAGTTGTACAAAATAATTTAAGGATGTTCTTACCCATTACAAGGTTTATGCCTGTGAGCTAATATTTCAAACTAATCAATAGAACTCAGATACATTATGAAGATTTTCTGATTTATAATAAGATGGTATAATCTCTTGTTATGCTAGCTTTTGAAAGTAAACTGGAAAATAGCCTAAATAATCAATTTCGTAGCTACTTTTATTCCAAAAGGTTTCAGCATGTTCTACCAGCTTTTAGAGTTAGCACATCTGGTTCTCTGAAAACCGGACGTGTGAAAACTATCATATTTAGCTTTAAGCTGAGTTTCACCAATCTAAGAATGCTTCGGTACTTTTTCTTCTGTTAAACTTAACGATATGATGATAATTAACACCATGATGTAATCATTCATGTCAGAAAATAGGATGATGATAATGGAGAAGGTAATTTGATATTGGGAGTGACTGAAGATGCAATGCATAAGTTGAAGAAATGCTCTCTCTATTTGATGAATGTAACAATATTGGTGAGAAAGACAACTAAACTAAAACCAGTAATTCATTGATAGCTAAATTCAACTAATTAATAAGTAATAACAAACTATGTAAGATTTTTTATGCTATGAAATGTTATTTGTAGGTTCTTGTGGCTGATTTACAATTTCAGGATACAATTTGGGTGGAACAACAAAATAATTGGGTGAAACCGCAAAAGAAATTTTCTTCTATTGTTTAGGCTCGTTCCACTTTTGCATGGTTAATTAAAGGTGCTTCCTATTATGGTATTCTTTGCCACTCCATTCTCCTTTTATTGTCTTTTCAGCCTGAGGATTTTTGGTTTAGTGCACCAAAGAAAGGAATTATGGTCTTTGCATTGCCTGGTGAATCTGGACTTACGGAAGTGGCTGGGGATTTCAAAATTAATTTCCATGATCGGCAAGGAGATTTCTATTGGTACGATATTGCTATGTTAGCTAATTATTTCATTTTATTTCAAAAAGTCTAGTCTTATGGTTAAATTGGCTACTCTATTCTTTAACCAGTTAAATTGTTTTGGGAAACACTTGGCTAAGAAGATATCACTACATTGCTGCTGCTTAAAAGTAGTCATTCTTAATGGGTTTAACGTAGAGTTTTGATGTAGTTGTTTTGCCATACTTTTTCTATAAGTTTATCTTCTAGTTTTTCCTGTTACTACTCACGTTTATTTTCTCATCTTAGATTCTATTTTATTTTATCTTCTTAGCTCTTTTAGTACACTTCTTATTAATATTTCAAAAACGTTGTTTTGTTTGTGTGTGTGCATACATACCTACATACATACATTCATTTGTTCATTCGTTCATGCATGCGAGTGTGTGCTTTTCATACAAAAGAGCTAGTTATGGTACAAAACAGCATTGTCATAAATGACCCTTCCTAATATAACACTAGGGTATTCATAGGCAGGCCCTAGGCCTCTAATTATTAAATTACCCTATTTTAGGAAAATAAGAAAAGAAAATACCATTAGGCAATTTTAATATTTATAGAAAAGACTGCTATCCTCTAAATATGTGTCACCTACTACAATAGAGACAACTCTATTGCTCATCATGCTAGTGAACTTTCCAATCTTTTTTCCAGATGTTGTAGTATCCGCCTTCATCATTCGAGCCCTTCCTAATATAACACTAGGGTATTCATAGGCAGCCCCTAGGCCTCTAATTATTAAATTACCCTATTTTAAGAAAATAAGAAAAGAAAATACCATTAGGCAATTTTAATATTTATAGAAAAGACTGCTATCCTCTAAATATGTCAGCACCTACTACAATAGAAACAACTCTATTGCTCATCATGCTAGTAAACTTTCCAATCTTTTTGCCAGACGTTGTCGTGACCGCCTTCATCATTCAAGCCCACATTGATGCTCAATTTGCTGGAAACAATATTAACTTCACTTCCTCACTTCATTAGGAGTTTGCTCTTTGACTCCCTCAGGATTCAAAGGCCTGAATAGGAACCACTGGATCACAATAGCAGGCCAATAATGGCCCTTCGAGGGGAGGCAAAAATTAAATTTTCCTGTATCATTTCAATCACGTTTATGACACCAATGTTATTAAGTTATTGAAGCCCTTTTGGAGAAACTCATCAAGGAGGAACATCTAAAGGAATTCTTGGTCTGTCATCATGAAGCAAACATCTTATTACTAAACCTGGGGGAGTTGGAATGAAAGTGATCGTTCACTCAATGCCATCACTGGGGAGCTGTAGTTGAGGCCACACACTAGAGCAGTATCTAAAAGCTCTATCACCATGAGTTAAACATTTGTTGCTCCCCAATTGTTTCATTTTTCAGACGATTTTATCCTGCTATATTGAACTCTATGATAATATTATTGTCATTAAGGCTATCATCAATCACTAAAAGGTTCTAAATCCACATGGACACCGCAAGCAGGTCATTGTTTTGTTCTTAGAGTTAGCTAAGAGGATGGGTTCATCTCAAAGTACTCTCAACCTACTGAAACATTTTGAGTTGGCTTCTTAAGTGAGAAATGCACTCTAATAGGGTTAATTACTATCAAAATGATCCAGAGGGACCACTATTTCATGAGTTGTGGCATACTACTTAATGTGCATCAGAGCTCTCTCGATTTATAACATCATTTTTCCTTGTCCTCTTTTAAATACATTCCAAGCAGTGGTCTGATGGGTACTTTCGTGTAAAATTTCCTATTGTTCATGGAATCAGAACCATTTGCTGAGAAATTTTATCGGTGAAGTTTTTAGCAATGTTAAAGATGATCCATTTTTCATATTGGCTATCGATGAGATGAATTTATCAGGCCTCCAACCTGCAAAGGAAGTGGTTGAGACTCTAATACTATAGCCAACATTTTAATATTATAGCCAACTCAACTAGAAGGAATTTTCAACTTAGCTTGCTCTACAAACGTACTTTATAAATAAAACTTATTAAACTCTTTCCTGATACAATTGAGATATTTGCTTTGAAGCCATCCTTGATGCTTGAAATGGACCCTAATGCCACTCTACACTAACTCCACATTTGTGTAAAACTATCACACAAAAAAAGAGAAATTTCGTTGTTGGCATCAAAATAGTAATTTAGGAGAAAGCTAGCAAGCTTCTTGTCATTGATTCCGTTTGGGAAAGCTAACATCATGCTGTCGTTGACATTCAACAGCTCTTTGAGAAAGCTTTGAAACTTCCATTTTTTTCCATCTATGTCCACTATTTATTCTTTTATTTTGAAAAAGAAAAAAAATATAAAAGTAGTTTCATGATTTATGTGAGAATATAGGAACATGATTGTAGAATTTAAGGCCAACCCAACCCATTGAAACTAATGAGAGCTCATGAAAGGTTTCTTATTTTAGCAAAGGTTTTTTGTTTTTTTCTTTTTTAATTATTTTTTAAGAAGAAAGAATAATTTTCTTAATGGTTAATTACATCTTTGAAGATATTAAAAAAAAAACTCTCAATAAAATGGCTTATTTTGTGTTCCATTTCTTTCATCTGGACTGTTAGAAGGCTTTGACTCTTACATATATTCAAGAGAAATAAGTAGGCTAAGGTATTTAAGGGTATATGTAGACAGCGCTAGAAATCTTAGATCTAAACTATTAGTAATTTCATGGTTCTATTATTTCAGATTGTTAAACTATTTCTACTTAGTCAAGAAGTAGTCGACCTATTTTGTTTTTTATCAACAGCTGTGGATTACATCATAAAAACAAAAGTCGTAGATCTAGAACCAATGAAGAGACAATTTAATTCTTAGAATCTATATGATAGGAAGGATATAGAAACTTCTATTTAAATATATTGATATTCCTATAAAGAGTTAAACTACCTAAACTAACCTTAGAATCTTATTTGAATTATGACTGCCACTAAAATATCTAAGCGTATAAGCTGTCAATGTAGGAGTTTATGTTTTACCCCATTTAGACTCTCTTACGGTCAACCAAAGGTACAAAAAAGAAGGCCGAGTTAATAAGTCTATTGACACTCATCTTGACTTATGCTTATTTGAATCAAGTGAGTTGACAACTAATATTACCAAATTATCTCAAACAAATTCTTATACTTCAATTACTCTAATATTCATAAAACTTAAAGGTTAGTGCTTGTATAAAATGATGTTAAATAAAATACAAAACTTCTAAAAGCACTTCAAATATAAAATTATACTTATCTTAAAGTCTTTATATCAGATGTCGATGTTATTTGTAAACACTTAAAATTGTACAATCAAATTAACAGAAAGATAAGTCACCTGACTAGTACTCACTTGCTATTTTTTCCTCCTGAAAGCCAACATTATATTATCTTATGACCTCCACACTAATTGAGATGGACAATGCCAAATTAAGATTCAAACTTACAAGAAAGAAAAAACATGCATGCTAGTTGGCGATTAACATGAGTAATAGAATTAATATTGAATACACATATTGAAATACTTAATTAGTAAAAATAATGTGATTAACTTTAGTAAATATGATATTGGTTAGAAGTAAATAAAGGTGCTGTGAATATGTCTTTTAATTTATTATAGGTTGGCACCATTAATGGAGAAAAATAATTCATGTTGCCGACCTCACTTAGCGTGATAAAGGCTTGTTGTTGTTGACATGTGTTATATTCTAAGTAGTTACTTATATATGTATGTACTTTTATTTTATTGTTATTCTCAATATTCTTTAAGTTAGAAATATCATATCTAAGTAGTTACTTATATATATATGTACTTTTATTTTTATTCTTATTCTCAATATTCTTTAAGTTATAAATATCATATCATATTTACATAGGTTTTGATATATTTAATTTCATTAGGTCGTCACCTAGTCCACTTGCCATAATAGCCATTAGTAAAGGTGGGTCATCTCAGGGTCTCATATTTTTCAATGGCTTCCTAATATCAGCTAGTCTGTCTCTATCTTAATATCAAAAGTAGGAAATTTAATTATTTTTCTATTAAGGCTCATCTCGTTAGAACTTATCTTCCCCTATGCAGGTCAACATTATAGCTACCAATATATCATAAATACATGATATTTTCTTGATTATTTTTATCAGCTATAATCATTTAAACTAAAAACTTGAACTCAAAACTTATTTTGCAGAAATCTCTACGAAGTTCTTGAATTTAACTTCTTAACGCACAACTAAAACCTTAGCTGCCTACTATTACCAAGCTGTAGTTCAATTCGAGAGTAAATAAGGAATTGTTAAGGTTTAAGATAAATAAATATAAGTATTTATATATTTAATTTTGTCTTACTTAAGTTATCTCACCATCCCACCTCCAAAATTTTCTAATTTCTTTTCCAATTTCTGGTTAACAAACCTCCGAACTCTGTTCCTGTCACAGCAGCTTACGGAATAGAAAAGTTGCTGGAATTGAATGTTGGGAAATGAATACTGATATATATAACTTATGTTAATTTTTCTTCTTAGGTTGCCTACCTGAGATCTTTAGCCCTCTGTTTCACCACCTGTTGATGATAAATATTTAATAATATAGATACTAATGTTGCTAATTAAATTTAATTAGAATTAATTAATTAATATCAAGTTAAAGTTTGGACACTTTCAAATTACTTTCCATTCATAATCTAAACTCTTTTGAAGCCTATTGCTATGGACACTCAATCTCACTTAACAGAGATCCGCAAAGGCGCTTTCTCGAGGGGCTCACAATTCTTTGATTGGTGTCGTCTCCCTGCCTCACGTGCGACGGGCCACGATCCTAGAGCTGAATCCCGCACTTCTTCCTCGGCCATCCCCTTCCACCCCGTGCAGCCACCACTAGTAACTCTGAAATTTTTGGGGCGAGTGGCCAGGATGACGATAGAAGAAGCGATGACGCCCATAGAATGGCCGGCGAAGAGGATGAGGGAGACATTCGTGAGTTTTTATGAAGGGAAATGACACGGCAATTGGCTTTCAAGCCTCATGGTTCCATTGGAAAATTCAATG